ACTAAACAAAGGAACAGTGCCAAACTCCTAAGCATGGAGCCAAGAAGTGATGAAACCAGACCATAGAGTAACTCCCAAGCGTACAGCCCAAGGAGTGAAAGGACAGAAGCATGGAGTGACTTGGAACAGTCCTAAAGCAACCAACATCCCAATGCTAGGACAAGCACACAAAACGGAGCCAAATGGAGTCTTGTGCTATTTCAGCATATCGGTGGCCTAACATGAGGATATGGGTACTCCACTAACTAACATGGTATGGAACTTGGGTTTAAACCCAAGCCGAACGCAAAACAAGGACAAACACACAAGTGGGAGTTAGACTATGCCTTAAGTTGGTCAACTATGCCCAACCTACCCACTATCCCTACTATACATTTAAAACCCCCTATATTCCCTCCCCCCTTGAGGAACACATGCTTTGGGCTTTCATCCCAAGCCTCCCTTAGTATCAAGAGTTAGTTTCTAGGACAAACTTGAAACTTATTAAATATAGAATATCTTTAGATTGCGAATTTGGACATAAGACAAACACCATTGTGTTCAGAATAATCTCTACATTCCATAAATATGCTAAATGAGCAAATCTAGACACTTTTTATAAATAGCATTTGGGACTGAAATGAGACTAACACAAAGGGCATGATAACGAGGGTGTTTAACAGACATGGTAAGCTATCATTTAGTGAATATTAAGGGACCAATCTCAATATTGTGGGGGTTCTTAATACTAGTAAGTGCAAACCAATGACACAAGTTTCTTAAACTAGGCTGAGTATGGTCAGCAAGAAACACATAGGGTTCTTACCTTATGTTCATCCAATTTAAGTGCATGGTCATTGACCACTTTCTCAACTAGCTCAAGTGGGAAACTAATAATGGGTCTAGCAATACTGACCTCTTGTCATCATAGCAGTAAGGAAAGAATATCTAAAAGGACTAGCTGGCAGGTAACTTTCGATACCCAAAATCACATTCACAACAATCACCACTACTGCTACAATTTTACAAAGAGGCCAGTGGCAATGAAAAAGACTTTGTCGCAGGGATCAAGGGGGAGTACACACACAAGCTCATTGTGAATCTTATCACTCAGAGAGAGCTGCCCATTGGAATAGCGCTGATGGTTTTTGGAGAGCAAGGCCATGAACTCAATCTTATATATAGGGAATGGCTTAGAAATTCATGAAAAAAACACTTTCTTTTTCTTCCAAAACTTACTGTGAAGCTGAGATGAATGAGCTGGTAATACTGAGCTATGATCTGACTAGCACCTATCATAGTAAGAAAGAGAGATGATAAGAACAAGAACCAAACTTTTAAGAATGAAAAGGAAAGATAACAAACCCTTGGAAAAATTGAGAGTGAAAGTTGGCTAGTCAACTCCAAGATAATTGATGTGAAGACAAGCTCTTCTAGGAGATTTTCCTTGCCTCTCCAGATAACCCAAAATCCCTATTCCCACTAGGGATGCTCGTCCAATCAAGATTCCTATTTGATGTTGGTCACCCATGAAAATCAAGATTTTGGAAGCCAATGTGAAGGATATGTTGAAGAAGGGAGTTATCCTCAAGTCTCAAAGTCCTTGGATTTGTGAACTTTATCTTGTGATAAAGCTTGATAGGAGCATTCAATTTTGTATTAATTATTGTATGTTTAATAATGTGATTGTTCATAATGTATACCCATTTCCTCACACAATGGATTTACTTGATCGTTTGGGACAGAGTCAATGGTTCAGCAAATTGGATCTTGCATCAGGGTATTGGCACGTATCAATGTCTAAGGAGAACATTCCTAAGACTACTTTTTATACACCCTTTAGGTTGTATGAGTTCATGGTCATGCCATTTGGTTTGAATAGTGCTTTGGCAACGTTCCAATGGATAATGGATGAAGTTTTTTGCAATATGCCAGAGGTAATTATTAACTTCATTAATGATGTTTTGATTTATTTAGATGGGACATAGGAACATATTAATGATGTGTGTAAAGTGTTGGATCAATTGCAAAAGGTTGGGTTAAAGTTGAAATAATTTATGTGTGTGTTTGATTTGCGTGAATAATGTGCAACAATTCCTTGGCAAGGTGTAGTACCTTGATTGGTTCATGGATCATCTCTTTGATCATACTGCACCATTGCAAGCTTTACTAGGAATCAAGCAGCCAAGGCAAGGGAGCCCTTGTGGCTGAGCTCACGCATGCATGGCAAAATTGTGCATAGCACATGTGTGCCTAGATCCAGCCCCAACTTGACCTCAACTACCCGATTCCTCCAACTCACACACTATCCCTACTATACTTCCAAAACCCCCTAGAGGTCCCCCCTCTAACTCATTGGGTGGAAGTTTTTGCTCCTCCTAATGCAAATATAACTTCTGTTAGATATTTCCTTCTCAACTAGGTAACGTTTCATCTTGCAGGCAAGAATAGTGTTATAGAGTACCTGACTAAAATTGACAAGTGGATGGTTGGAAATATAGAATAATTTTGATGGTAGTGGGCTGGATTCTTCCATTGACTTTCTTGGTGATTGTCTTGAGGATAAACGACGCTACCACTGGTGCAAGGAGTGCAAGGTTGAGATGCATAACACAGCAAAGTGTTGAAAGTTGCACCCAAAGCTTCGACCTGAGCACCTTCAATGTATTCCACAGCATCCTCTTAAGTGGATGTTACCTCCACTTTCCTTCACACCTGCTCGGCTTGCAGCTGAAAGAGAAAGACGGTGAGCATCCCGAATCCGGCAGTAAGATGCCGCCCAAACTTCTCCACGAGCACTCTGTCGAGAAGAGGAGAAAGCTTCGCAAGAGCTGCCGAACTCCCCTGTTTTTAAGGGTTCTACATGCTATAAATGGCACCAATGTGACTCTGGCTCAGCTATTTCCTCCGTTTAGCATTTAGTTGTTCAACGTTTGGCCTTCTGTACTTGACCTTTGCATGGTACTTGCAGATTACCATGTTTCTCTCTCTCTCTCTCTCTCTCTCTCTCTCTCTCTCTCTCTCTCTCTCTCTCTCTCTCTCTCTTTATAAAGGAGTGAGTGATTGTGGTGGTAGGCACTCTTTGTTAACATGGATAACTATCTTCAAGGTCTTTTTACGCTTTCTAACGATCCTGCGCCTGAAGTGAGAAAATTGGTTAGTACATCCGTTTGATTGTGATATTGAAATAATGAGTGATAGTTTCAGTTTTACATGCAAGGTGTGTGCAGCGCTCGTTCATTTGTTGGAAATGGATGCAGAAATCCTCCGGGTAAGGTTATTTTAATTTTTCAGTTGTTTATACTAATTATTTCCTATGCAGCCTCACATGAAAAGTGTAATTGAATATATGTTACAAGCAAACAATGATCGAGATCCAGAAGTAGCGTTAGGGTCATGTGAGTTCTGGTACGCTGCTGCATGGCTTTCGTGAGATACCTGAGGTGCTGTTTTTCGTAGGACGGCATTCTGTGAAGCATAGCTACCTTTGGAACTTTTAAGAGACGCCCTACCCCGACTAATTGGAGTACGCTAGCTTACTAAAACTTCGTGTTTTTGCTGATAGCTTTTTCCAGGTCTACTCAAATAACGGGATGCAACACTGGTGGTAACTACGAATGAAGAAATTGAGGAGATCAACCTCACAGCACCAACAGAGGAACCTAGAAAACTGAAGATCACTAAGGTGTTGCCACGAGGATTAGCACTCCAACTTCTACATCGCTACAAGGATGTGTTTTCCTGGACATACAATGATCTATAAGGAGTACCACCTGATCTCTGCACACATTTTATTGAGTTGACTCCTACAAGCACACCACGTAGGCAAGCACTGTACAGGATGAATCCAACCTTCATGGCCAAGGTCAAGGAGGAGATCGACAAGCTACTACAAGTCTGATTCATCTACCCGATCAAGAACGTGCAGTGGCTATCACTCATCGCCATTGTCTTGAAAAAAAAAAGGAAAACTGAGGATCTGCATGAATTTTCCAAGGGTGGCTGCTTCCGAGACAGCGGAATTCTGGTTCGGGGGACTGCCGAACCTGTGCTGCGGTGGTGCCAAGGCTAGCTGTTGACAGGCTTGGCGTGGGAGAATTTGTGAGCTATTTGCACGTTGACAAATACTTCATTTTGGAAGCATATTACTAAGCAGAGGAAAAGAAACTAACAAGGATTTCCCTAGTAGTGGGGAGCAAAACAGAAAAAGCCCAACTTGGAAATCAGTGTGTTTTGCACATTGAATTATAGTTTGGAGAAGGGTCCTCCATAGCAGACCAGGTTTAAGTCCTTTGGAACGGGACGCCAGAGAAGGTGAAAGCCCCAGAGAGGGTGAGAGCCCCATCTAGCCTGGACCCTGCTGCATCACAAAGCTCTTTCGGCAAGTTAGGTTGAGTAGTAAATTCCATCCAAGGCTAAATACTGGTTGAGCCTCTTATTGGAAAGCAATGGTCGCTTGAAGAGTTTGAAGGAGCTCCTGGGTTACTGGTATGCTCTTCTTGAAGAATTCTAGAGTTTTTGTAGCTATGGTTCCCACTTACTCTTGCAATGGCTTGCTAGAGCACGCAAAGAGAGTTTTCGACCTAATGCCACATCACAATGCTGTGGCGCTCAATTCAGATTGCTTGTAAATCTTCATATACGCTTGGCTAGTCAGCTACTTGGCTGGTAAGTAACTTGTTGTCAACTCCCATGGAAGTTAAAACCATTCTTTATTTTTCTGCAGCAATGTCAGCGACCTCTTGTATTTACAACTAAGAAGAATCGCTGAGAAAAAATCGAGGCAGTGGCGGCGATCGAGCAGCGGGAAGAAGAAGAAAAATTACCGAAGAGGAGAAAAAAAATAAAATTGGTCAGAGGTCTTGCCAGAGGTGATGAAGCAGCAGCAAGTTCCAAGTATCTGGGACGCCCGGCAAGCACCAGTGGCTACAATCCTGCTTGTTCCGCAGAATTTAGAAATGTTTCTTAAAGTTTTCAATTTTCCGTATTTGTTAGTTGAAAACTTTAAGTCAAACCTACTGTCCAATCATATGGCTTATTGTATATTCAAACAGAAATACCTCAGCGATAGAAAAAAATGAAAAAAGGTAAATTAGAAAAAAAAAAGAAAGGTGAAGTAAAGTTAAAAGGTAAATGGTAAAGTTGTAGATGTTGGTGATTTTGATAAACTAGAGAATGCATGTCAATTAAATAAAAAGAAATATACAATTAAGAAACTTACATCTGTCTTTGCTGTTTATTAAGTTTGAGTATTCCAGAATATGTTTCTCCATCCATGAACTTGAGACTTGCATTGATTCTGGATTTAATAATTGAATCTATGTCACTTGCATTTTGATAGATATAATCAGTGTTTGAAGCCTAGTAATAAGTTGTTATAATTTATTTATAGCATTTTTTATTTAAAGACTTACCATCACCCATCCCCAAACATCTGAATAGGAAGGGATATGAGTTGTATAAGGAATGACATCTGTCAAATAATTCAGATGAATAGATTGGTTTTTTGTTAGTTACTTACATCTGAAGACTTGTTTCAAAGTGTGATATATAGAAGGAAAAACATCTAGATTGGATAGAATACCAGCTGGACCAGCCTATTAAAATTGAGTTTTTATTCAGCAAGTCAGCAATAACAATATACTTACTTGTGTTACAAATATCCCTCCATTTTTGAGTTTGGATTTCACAATATTTTGGTAAAAGGCCTTCGTGTATAACTGGTTACAAGGGCCTCCTTCCATAGGATCTGCCAAGTCTCCAATCACAATATCAAACTTTTCCAAGCAGTCCTCAAGTTCCAATCTATGGTAAAATACAGCTTGCAAAGGTGAAAAATATGGAATCTTTCTTACCTCGCATCTCTAATAATCACATCCAACTTTTTGCTTTGAAATGTATCCCGATTAACAGACAGATGCATCTGACAGAAGTCCACCACTTCCTGAAATCTCAATGGAAATAACGATAAGATTCAGACTTTATGGATATACCTTGTCAATATCACACATCACAACTTTAGCTATTGTCTTGTGCTTTAGAACTTCTCTTGCAGTTGAACCTTCTCCTCCACCCATGATAAATACAGTCTGTGGACTAATAAGAAAAACAAAAGGATAGGAAAGTCAACCAAAAATATTTCATAAAGACCTTCAACTTACTTGGGATGTGAGAGAAGTGCAGGATGAACCAAGGCTTCATGGTAGACAAATTCATCAGCTTCAGCACTCTGCATCTTTCCATCAAGCAATAAAACCTGCTCGCCAAAATGTTTCTTCATTCCAAGATTGAGAAAGGCACGAACCTTGCCAAATGGTTGAGTTTCAAGCAATGCAATGTCTTGAAATTCACTGGCACCTGTATGCAAAACCCTGGGAAAGCTCCAGGCTTTTAGAGATGCGATTGGGAAGAACATATATAACTAGAACCTGGAAACACTGTATGTCCACTTGAGACCTTCGTCTATCTCCTCCTCGTACCAAAGGGAATTCTTGCGGCTTCTACTATTGTAGCCCCCGTCATAGTTCTCTTCCTTGGGAGGATCCTCGCAAATGACATGAGCCTCTCCCATTTCAAACACTGGTGGTTTTCACTCGTTGAGAACGTTTGAGAACGTTTGAGAGCTGACTTTGCAGTGACAAGAAGAAAACTGCGAGGCTTTTATACGCAGGAAAGCTCTCACAGGCTTGCGCGTGATGGAGCGGGCCTTCATTCGTTCAACTCGTCTGGAGAGTGGGGACATGCATCATGGCCCATGCATGTATGACTTTTGCATCTAACCAACACAGCTCTGGATTCGCAACAATATCGCCACGCGAACAATATCGTCTTGTGGGATTTTGTTTCTCAGTATCCCACGCACTCGTCCACTGGACGGAATGCTCACGCGTGCACAGATGGTGCCACTGCAAGGCACTTTTTACAAGCCTGGTTGATATTCCTGCTTCCACGACTATGGGTATGATAAAAGTCTGACAAAGTACAAGACAGACCTTTGTTCCCCTGGGCCAGGATATGCTTTACATCCTCGCCTAAGATAGTGCTGTACCCGGCCACCTTTGATCGCTGTAAATTGGATTCGTACTTTAGTATAGACCTTTGAAGTGCAAAACTTTGTAAACCTTGGCTTACCTGTGTTGAACTTGAGTTGCCACGAGATCGATAGAAAAGGAAAAACACCCACCGAATTGTTTTTAAAACAAAGGCCTTCATTTCTACGTAACGTTTCCTGCCCCCACGACACCGACGATCCCGATGTGTGGGAATAAAATAGTACCGAAATGATCTTTGATATCTCCTCCGAATATTAGCCCGAGAAGTTAAATCTTTCCTGCAGGCCACACAAATAGAGGATGTACGCTTTCCTTACTTTCACCTACAGCGTACCTGTAGCAGTGACAACAGCTTTGGATGCTGCTCCAGAAGCATTGTAAGTCTTGTCTGATCCCTCAACAAGTCCTGAAAAAAAAGTGGTCAGCTCATGTTTCAGGCGACTTGGAATTTAGAAAAACACCTGTATCGATTCTGGAGATGCAAGTATCTGTTGAAGGACACTCCAGCTTTCATGCTGTGGCTGAGTTTGCACAGCTTGTTGTCCTTGATGCCGGTGGTAGCCAGCGTAGCCTTCCTGTGGAGTTCGCTGGATTTGCGAAAGTTGGTGTTGTAGATGGAAATGCTGTGAAAGTTGCTGCGGTGTTGGCAGAAAAGGTGGCTGTGGCGATGGTGCAAATAATGGAGCCTGGGAATACACTTGATAACTTGGAGGAGGGACTGTACCGGAGCTTATACTAGTTGGCCCAGTGGATAAGTCGTTGGGCGATTGTCCATCATAAGCGTTGGAGGTCGAGAAAATGGTCGCGCTGCCTTCGTCGTCGTTTGATGTCTCTAGATCTCCTGGCTCGTCATCAACTTGAACAAAAGCTGACGGTGCATCTTCGGGAATCTCTTCCTTTTCAACGTGTTCTGCACGGGCGGAGTGAGGAGCTTCGGTTGTAGAAGTGCGCAAGCGCACAATCCGTTTGCTTAAGTCGTTCATCAAAAAAGGCTTCCTCTTTGGTGGCCGCAAGGTTGTGCCTGTGCCGATCACTTCAGCCGAAACCTCCCAACTAAAACGATCGCTGAACTTCTCAAGCATACTATGGGCGGGGATGCCCCGAGCAATGAAATCGTCGGTACTGCTGCTTCGGTGGACTTCAAATTGTTTTTCCAGCTTTCCAGCCTTCAATTTCTCCAAAAGACCTTCCAGCTCAAGAGGCCTCTGTAGCAATCTCGAAAGCACCTGCAGTGCATGGACTGCCTAGAAAAAGAAAAAGCAAGAAGAAAAAAGTGTCATATAAGTCCCTGGCAAATACGTACCTGTCGAGCACATTTACTGTCACCTGAGCCTTCGCCACTTTTTCTTCTCAGACAACTCACGAGATCTGAGATAGCTAGCAATGCAACTTGATCATCGGATGTACGCCTTCCAAACAACGTGTTGAGAGCTCCTATGCCAAGCGAGCTACCAGACACAACAGTTAGAAAGAGATGAAAATAAAAACTTTTACCTTTTTCCAGCAGCCGTTAATCTCAACGCTCCCACCGAAAAAGCACGAGCAATTTCAAGCAGCGTCGAGTCATGAGCACCTTCTACATTTAACGCAGCAGTTAGTCTTTGGCTTAACACCAATAGCGGTTCATCGTGTCGTTCAGCCATGTTATTTCTTGTGTCATCATCGGTATCGTTCTCCAAGCTTGTTGTTAATTCACCCAGTTGTAGTTTAAGAAAAGCGACTTTTCCTAGCCGGTGAGAAGAAAACTTGTAAAACGCATGCATTAGAGTTATAAAGTCATATTCTAGTGGTAAGTCCTGTTATTAGACACGAAACATAAAAACATGAACAACAAATGTAAGGACGAATTAAAAACTACCTTTAATAGACTCTTGAACGAGGAAATGATGTAGAGACAGTGCTCAAAACTCAGTACAGATTTGGAGTCACATATCGTCGTAAGACAAGTCAATAACGATCTTATGCAGTTTGAGGCTTCGTCTGTTCTGAAAGAGGAGAAGCTGAGAAGCGCTTGAAACAGAATTTTCAAAATCCCTCCCTGAAGGAGTACGACCTGAAAGTAATAAAATGAAGTTCCAGTACCTTTGTCGTTATGTGCATACCTTTGAGGCAGGAAAGTTTGCAAGATCGGTAACAAACTCTATGCAGCATAAAACCTGCGTAAAGGGAAAGACGCTATGAAGGAAAGAAAAAAACCAGAGAATAACTCACATGCAGAGCATCGGCATCTGACGAATGTGCTGCAGAAGACGTTCGTTCTTCTATATATGTAAGAAGTGGACGCAACATTGCAGCTGAAAGTTTGGGGTCTACGCATGAGACTCGCACCACAACATGTTTTAGCAAGTCACGAAGCATCTCAGATGTCTGCACAAGTATGAAACAGTCAGAAACTGCAATAATAAATAGAATGTGCCTCACAGATAGAGCTAGTCGTGGTATTAAATCAGCAAAGTAGTGATAATGCGGTGCCAGGGATTCGAGTAAAGCCTCTTTGAAGGGTGTCTGAGTGTGCCAGGTTACTTGTGGGACGACAGTTGTACCGAGCGTTACTTCCACTGAAAAATCCCAACAGCTACCAGTGTTGTCATCCAAAGGAAGTAGATTTCCCTGCAGGAACTAATATAAGAAAAGAGACAAAACCAGTGAAATACATACCAAAAGAATAAGAGAGCTACACGTCTCTACTGGGTTCAATGGCAAGTCAGAGCCAGTGACATATGAACGAAATATTCGTGGCGGGATCACCGGGTTCCATCCAAAAATGGGCCAAAAAGCCAAGACTGCTGCCAAAAGCCGAAGAACAGCTCGGATCTCCACTCCACCTGATTCCCGTGAGTAAGTGGGAACTAGCACTGACTTTCCACTGAAACGTAAACGCATCATACACACGGAACTAAAAGTAAAATCTTCCTGTACTTGTACGCACCTTATTGCAGCGTGCAATCTTAGAAGTAGCATCACAAGCTTCGTATTGTGATATTGCCGCCGCTCAAGCTGAAGATCATGATAAGTTAGGAAAATAAAAAATAAAAAATATCGATCTAGATACCTCAAGTCTCTGAAACAATGTTGAAAGAAGTAAGAGCGTAGGTACAAGAAGCTTCACGACGGACGTAAGTATCGAAGACGCTGCCAAATCATCATCCTCAAAGTCATCTGAAGGTAAAGAAACAGTACAATGGAATCACTTAGACGCACGATATTCAGCAGACCTTGAAGCATAAAGGAGGCACGTTCCAATAGCGCACTAACAACAGTGACAGCCCCTTCTGCATATAAAGCAGCTGCGAGACTCTGGAAGAAAACAAGCGCAGTGAGAACGCCGGTGACAAATAAAGAAAAGTGTTTCTGTCGCTCACGTGAAGAGATTTCGAAGAGATCAAAGGTACTTACGGATCCGCAGACGGATGCTAAGATTTGCATGCAAGCTGTCAGCTGAATAATTGTAGAGTCATTAAACCCGGAAGATCCATCCATTTTTCCCAACAGACTGCTGGCATCGTGCTCATCGACCATTACAGTGTTCACGTCAAACCCATCCAGATTCGAATTCTCTCCAGCAAGAAATGCGGCGAACTTTAATAGACCAACAGCCCCTTTGTCTTGATAGATTAGAGCTGCATCAGCGACTAGCTGTAACCGGATAGTGAACAGGCCGGTTTCAGATAGCTCGTCCTCCACAACCTTCAGTTTGGAGATCACTTCTTTCAGATTTGCAGCATGTTTTACCCAGGTAGTCCATACGGCAAGAGTTGAATCGCTGAGGAGGACGTAGAGGGTTTCTGCTGCATAAGATGC